CTGAGTTGCGCATCTATGGTGGCGAGGAGCCGGTGCAGGGCTTTAACTGCACTGCTACCAGTAGATTGTTTGCAGCTTGTCAAGCAGCAAAGCTCGCACAACAGTACAAGCGCCGATTGCACCATGAAATTACAAATTGCACCGCCTTGTTTGCAGCAACTAAATGTAGTTGCAGTGCACTACAGTCCATATGCAAGCGTCTGTATGTACAACAAGCGAAGTTCCAACAGACCTAGATTCCATGTCGGGTTCTTTAGAACTTGAAGTCTTGGAAGTGTGCAATGCCGTGGGTTTCCCGGGTTTAGGGTTTAGGGTATTTAGGGTTCAGGGTTTAGTTGCCCGAAACCCCGCCTAGCGTAAACCCCAGCAGACGATTCACCTCATGTTGCAGCGATTGATAACGGCACGAATCGAAATATACATAGCCTTGTGCTTCCAGAGCAGGGGCCGTCCAGCAAGAATCTGTGCAACCAGGTCGGAGAAGCAAAAACCTGGCGGTTCTTGGTGAGAGCAGTCTCGGGTAGTAGGACCCTTGCTGGAAGAACCGCTAAAGCCCTTACAAGGCGCAGTCAGTGGTCTACACTTACACTAGTGAGGTGTAGTAAGGTTCAGGAAACGAAGTTTGACATGGCAGCAGAACTCAAAGAGGCACTCCACCCTCGAACACTCAGCCCGAACCGAACTTCGAGGCCAACACCCACGAATCTGCGAAGTGTAAGCCGGACGTATCCCTGAGTCACGATGGAGATGAACCCATGAACCCAGACATTCGAGAGCCCCAGGCCCCAAAATGAAGCAGCATCGTCCCTATAAACCCTTCAAAAACCCGCACCCTAAGTCCTAAATACTAAACCTTGCTGTTGACGATATAAATCCTGCATTACCTCAAGGACCCTAAACTATGGGAATTATGGTATATTCCTTATTCTGGGTAAAGCATGATGCATATCATCAATCATAGCAAACCTGAAAGCTTAAGTCCCTAAAGAAGAGAGCCTTGAAGAGGAGATGGAGCTAGGCTTCAGTGCTTGGCAATGTGGTGGTTCGGTGGTTCACGAACCGTGCTGAGCTCGGTTGAGAGTCCTGGGGGTGCATTTCGGGTTTAGGGTTTACCTGCAGTCTCCATTGTAGTTCGTTTATTTGGGTTTAACCCATTTTGTATTAAGGGTCCTAAAAGGTAACCCCAAAAAGGAACTATAATGGAGACTATAGGTAGGTACGTGGGACCCTTTGGGTTAGTAACAGTTCCCCTGGAGACTATAGGTAGGTACGTGGGACCCTTTGGGTGAATAACAGTTCCCCTTGCCGGGAAAACTGGACAAACCAGCTAAGCTCCTTACAGGAGGAGACTTTGGGTAGAGCTTATATAAAGTTTAAGGTTTAGCGGTTTAGGGTTTCGGGGTTCAGGGTTTTATAGGGGCTCTAGAAGGACCCGGATGTAGGGGGGTATAGGGTTATAGACCTTTAAAGGTTCTGTGAGGGGATGTATGGGTTGTTGCGGAGTTTCATGCGAGTTTTCAGGGTCCAACGAAACGGAGAATATGTGCTTTGCCTGGCTTGGGGTTGAAGGTGTTGGGGTTTTGGGTGTCAGGTTCCGGGGTTAAGTGTCCCATATCATGCCTAACCCCTTCCTACACCCTAAACCCTAAACCGAGGCGATGATTTAAGTTTACGGCTGATTCTCGGAGTGCCTACGGGGCCCTTATTTCAAGGACCCTAGCTGGGAACCGAACATATAGGGATCTACACCCATGACTGCCTCGGCTACGACACGGGGGACCCAATAAACTCTCCCCAAAAGAGTACGGAGCCCTTAAAAAACGAGGAGCCTAGAAGGGAACCTATCTTTTTGGGACAGGGGGGACCCAGTAAACTCTGGGCCCCGTCCCTCACTTCGCGAGGAAGTGGCAGACCTTTCCAGTCAGCTCTCAAGGGTGAGCCTCAGCGCGCAACCCAGCGAGCGATATAGTTTTCTACTGGTAGCTGCTGTTTGTAAACTCCACAGGGGGGCGCTAAATCGCGCCTGGGCTCCTTGTCAACTTCTGGCGTGCACAGCAGCTCAAGCACCCAACTAAATCCGTAAACCCAAAGTAGCCTCAACACCTCTTTAGTCCTAACCCGCCAATGCCTGAACTAAACCCAAACTTCAATCCCCACCCCTGTCCCGCAAGCCTTCAACAATCTCAGCTGGAAGCCCTATGCAAGCCAATCGCAGGCCCTCCGACCCATGCCCGAAAACCGACAATCAACACCTGACCGTAAACCCTAAACCCCTAAACCCTAAACCCCTAAACCCCTAAACCCCTACCCTAAACCCCTAACCCCCAAACCCCTAAACCCTAAGCCCTAGAACCCTGAGAGCTCAACCCTTCGCCCCAAGCCGTCGGGCGGAGCCGATGACGGTTTCCAGCGTGTCGCCAACTCTCCGAAGCTATAGTCAGGCTCGGTTCCGAAATGTAGGGTTTGGGGTTTAGGGCTCTAAAGCCTTACAAGAAACCCTAAGTTTAGGGTTTAGGGTTCTTAGGGCCCTAAACCCTAAGCCCTAAACCCCATAAGTTTAGGGTTTGGGGTTTAGGGCTGCATTGTTTTGGTTTAACCCATTTTATACTAAGGATCCTAAAAGGTAAATCCAAAAAGGAACTACAATGGAGACTATAGGTAGGGCCCTAAACCCTGACCCTAAGTTTAGGGTTGGGGTTTTGGTTTTAGGGTTTCGGGTTTCTTTGTTTCAGATTTTAGGACTTCGCCTGGGCTTATTGCTTTATGCGGTTCATGTCTCAGGCTACCGGGTTTGGGGGGCTATAGGATTTAGGAGTTTAGGTTTTTCAAAGAGATTGGGAGATCCCTTAATTATGAGTTTCATTCCAGCGAGTGTTTAAGGTTGAGGTGGACGTTAAGATTCAGAGTTTACAGTGTTTAGGGCTTTGGGCTTCGTGGTCCCCCCAGTAGTACCATCTGCTCTTTGTTTTGGTGCGTTTCCCTCTTGGAACTGAAGGGTGGGAGCAAGTACCATTTTCAAGGGGATACTGGGAAAAACTCACAGCTTTGGCACTCTGGCTATACCTCGCATTTCCTGCGTTTCAGCAAACCGGAGGCGCGTATTATTCATAATGTGGATAACTATTACCAGAAGAGCACAAGGCAGGTTTTGCAGTTTCATCTACAAGCACGTAGCGATACTCACTATATTCACCAAAAACTAGGAACACCCCCACATACCTTAAACCCTAAACCCTATACCCTACACCCTAAACCCTAAAAACGCTAAAAACCCTAGAACACCAAACCCTATACCCCATATACCCTATTATACCCTATATACCCTATAATAAACCCTAAACCCTATATACCCTATATACCCTAGAACCCCAAACCCTCCAGGCCATCCAGCAAAGGGGGAAGACCCAAGACTGGGCAGAGGGTCTCCGCCTGCTGCTGGAGTTGGGAGAGGAGTCTCTGAAGGTCGGACTGTAGGGACATCTTGGGCTTTAGGGTTAAGGGTGTAAGGGTTGAGGGTTTAGGGTGTAGGGTGTAGGGTTTTGGGGTTTAGGGTTTAAGATTTAGGGGCTTTAGGAACTTTAGGGCTTTAGGGTTGAGGGTTCATGAGGGCTTCGAGTTCGTGGACTTTAGAGTTAAGGGTTTAGGGTTGAGGGTTTAGTAACTTTAGGGTTTTTGGTTGAGGGTTTGTAGTTTGTGGACTTTAGGGTTCAGAGTCTAGGATTCAGGGCTTGGGGTTATTAGGGTTTAGGCTGGCTGAGGGATCGGTATGTTGGGTTCAGGGAGGAGGTTGAGGGCAGATAGGAGTTCAGGGCTTATCCCGAAGCCTTTACAGTAAACCTTTGTGAACTCCTCTCCCGCAAACCCCAAACCCTCGATGTCGGGAGGTACTAGAGGGGCCTTAATAATCATACACCTGTACCATCTTGGTGGCCCCTTACTATAACTACAGTATATAATATAAACCCTGAACCCTATTCTACTTATCAAGGCTCCTGCATTGGGCAGAAGGATCTGGAGGTTAAGGGCTTGGGGTTGTCGGATTCGGCTCAAGGGTCGGAAACAGGGTCGGTTGGGTAAGGAGCTTTGGGCGCAGGGTTTAGGGTCTAGGGTCTAGGGGTTTTGGGGTTTAAGGTCTAGGGGTTTAGAGTTTAGGGGTTTAGGGGTTTCGGGGTTTAGGGTTTAAGGACTAGGGGTTTAGGGGTTTAGGGTTTAGGGTTTGGGGCAATTAAGGCTTGGAGCTTAAGGTGTCTAGGGATTTTGAAGTTGGGGTTTAGCGGCTTGGGGTTCAGTATTGAGGAGTGCAGGGTAACAATGTTCAAGGTTAAGGGTTGGAAGCGCATCAGCGAGTGCCACTTTCATTCACTGTTACTTAGTTGGCTTGGGATACCTCCTAATTAGCCCTAAACCCTAAACTCTAAACCCCAAACCCTAAACCCTACGTCCCAAGCAGCCCAATTGCTTTAGTCAATCGCGGCGCCGTCGTCACTTTCGCGCTTTACAAACCTGGCTTCAAGCTTTCGATTTCAGGGCCATGGTTCTGGAGCGTTTAGAGGAAGCCTTATCCCGTAGCATCAAAATAGCCCAAAAGCCTTGTACAACAGGGACTTTGGGCCCAAAAGCCTTAAATATGAGTCCTTTGAGGGTAAGGGCATAGGAGCCTCACAGGAACGCTGACAGCAATCTGGAGACTCCACTAAACCCCTAAACCCCTAAACCCTAAACCCTATTGGGTTTAGGATCATCTTCGCTGCCCTCATTGGGAAGGCTGATGTGATCGCCTACGGAGTCACACTGAGCGCCTGTGCTCGGGCCGGCGCCTGGCCGCAGAGTCATCAGCTCTTGCAGGAGCTGCCGAGGTTTCAGGTGCATCAAGTTTTGCTTTGTTTTTTTGTGTGTTTTTTACTGCTTTGGTTTGAGGGTTTAGGGACGAATCCTGTAGCTCAAATATCTAGAGGCGAAACTATGTTCCAAAACACGCCCAACCTTCCACACTCTCACAGGAGCTCTCCCTGGGCTTCCTGGAGCCAGATCTTGTGGCCTACAACTCGGCCGTGTCCTCCTGCGAGAGAGGTGCTCGAAGACATAGGGGTTGAGGGTGAAAGCCCTAAACCCCAAACCCCTAATCCCCTAATCCCCTAAACCCCTAAACCGAGGGTGAAAGCCGTGAAAGGGATCACGTGTGCTGTGGGCCTTAACGGTAGGGTTCTGACTTACTTTGTACTCTTCTTCCCTTACATTCAGAGGGCCCGAGGGCTTTACTTACAGTGCTCTTCAACAGCTCTTTAATGTTATGTTAAGAGTACACGCCCCAAAGACCTCAGTCTAATCCTCAAGGCCTTAGGAGGGGTGCATCTTCGGGAGTCCTTATCACAACGATCCTGCGATGTTGGGTTTAGGGTTTAGGGCCAAAAGGTTCCTGCGACGTTGGGAAATCTGTTAAGGGCCCCCACTTCTTGTCTGAATCGCTCGTGAGGCTTTAGTGCAGGGGGCAGGAGGGGTTTAGGGGTTTCGGGTTTAGGAATTTGGGAGCTTCAGCCTTTAGGGTTGAGGGGTTTTACGGTTATCTCTTGGGCGTCTTAGATCCAGGAAAGCCGTCAGCCGAAGACCCAACAGCAATCGGAGGCTCTGTATGGCGACAGTCGGTGAGTTTGCAAGAGTCCATGCTCAGGCCGCCTTTGGGCTTTGGGGTGTAGCATAGGGTTAGCAGTTAGGGCATTCCGGTATCTGGGGTTTCAGGGGGATTTAGGGTTGGGTTAGGGCTTTAAAGGTGTATAGGGATTGGATCGATGAGCTACATCTGGCGTGGGGATACCAGGCTTTGAAACAGAAGTTCATGGCTTGCTAGACAGGCAGGGGCTGCCGTCAACGGTCGGCTCTTTGTGACAAGGATGCTTTCCCATCTACGCCTTTCTTCCTATCGCCGGAAAAGCCCATCCCGGCAAACCCGAGCCCCAAACCCTGAACTCTAAACTGATTCTGAACCCACAATCCTAAACCCTATAAACCCTAAACCCTAATACAATCTCCAAGCTCCAAACCCTAAACTCTAAAACCAAGTAAAAATGCCAAACTCCAAGTCCGAAACTCTGAACCCTAAGCCGTGCTTCATGGCGGGGGTGCTTCAGGTTTCGATGTTTAGGGTTTAGGGTTTAAGGTTTAGGGTATAGGGTTTAGGGTTTAGGGGGTTGTGTGGGATTTTTAGGGGTTTAGCGCTCAGGGGTCACATGTTAGAGGTCTTCATATCGGCCGCAGGCGTATCCCCGCTTGGGCCGCTTTATAGCAGACCACCCATATGTACTGAAGGGAAGGTCTCGATACTCTTGAAAAGTAAAGGTTTAGGGTTTAGGGTTAAGTTATAGTAGAACTCCTAATACGATTTTAATGTCTCTGTTTCTTAACTAAGAAATTTTGGAAGGTCCTGGGGCTGGTGCCCCCCGAAAGAGTGTTCACAAACCTTTACAGTCGTGAATACGAAAGCTCAGAGACCCGACGTTTTTGTTCTGGTCGTGTTAAGCTATAATGTTGAGTAGGCACTTAAAAAGATCTAAACCACAAGCCGGAGGCAGGATGGACTTGCTGACGTCATCACCAACAACGCCATCATCAGCGCTTTTGTGCTTCAGTCGCGTTTGGGAAGCTTGAGTTCAGCAGGGTCGCAGTGCATTAGCCCGGTCTGCAGGAGTGGGGGGTTTGCGGGGATTTTCACGAGGGTTCGGGCAGGGCATCGGATTGGCGCTAAGGAGAAAGCCAGTGAGTGGCAGAAAGCCCTGGAAATACCGTGCCAGTTGAGCCAACACCGACTGGCCCCTGACACCAGGTCCCCGAGTAGTACCCTTTTGCTCTTTTAAATTTTAGGGCCCCCGTGCTAAAACCGAATAGTAGGAACAAGGGCACCCTTATTATAAAGAGGCTACTTAGGAACCAAGGACACCATTACCTATGGCAGCAGCATCAGTGCCTGTGCGAAGGCATCGGCCTGGCAGCAGGCACAACAGCTGGCACAAGAGACTAGGTTCTGAAGTACTAATACTTGAATACACCTATCGTCTCCATTGTAGTTACTTTTGGGGGTTACCTTTTAGGATCCTTAACATAAAACGGGTTAAACCAGAAAAAAGGAACTACAATGGAGACTAAAGGCAGCTTTTTGGCTTTTCTTACAGGATCCCTTACAGACACCAAAACCCTGAGCCCTCAGCCGTGTTACTTCAACGCCCAGGACATGTCCGACAGGGACCTTGCTGGTCTGATTGCCTACAACGCCTCCGTCAGTGCCTGTGAAAAGGTCCATGGCCTTCTATCAGTATCACATATGTCTCCAAGCCTTAAGCCCTAAACCATGTACTTTTTGTCAATTCTCCGTATATGAGGATTTTTCTTGAATAGTCCAGGTAGGTTTTTCGGGGTTCATGTAAACCCGAAATTCCTAAATTCTGAGGCCCTTAACCCTAAACCCTTAAACCCTAAACCCTAAACTCCCAATTCCTTAGCCTTAAACCCTAAACCTTAAACTCCTAAACCCCTATAAGCCTTAAACCCTAAACCCCGAACCCCAAACCCTGAAACCCTAAACCCTAAACTCCTATTTCCTTAGCCTTAGAGCCTAAACCCTAGACCAAATCTGAAGGCCGGTGAGTGGAAGCAGGCTTTCGGCCTCGTCACCCAGCTGGAAGTCGGAGGCCTTCGGCCGGACGCGATCACCTCGAATGCCGCCCCGAGCTTAGCTGTGTTCGATAGTCTAATATGTCTATGTATGTATATATATATATAATATTATACTATATTCTGTTATGTTCTATTCTAATGTATTATACTTACTGTACTATTTTATGTTATTACGTTATCTTTATTTTATATTGTACTATACTTTGCTGTATTGTGCACCTTCTTTTAGGGCCTACAGGGCCTCGAGGGTTTACAAGACCGCGAAGGGGAAATCGAAGGAATCCATGCGCTCGTTTCGGGGTTCTCCGGGGGCTACATATGGTGTAGGGGCGTTCCTTCAATCGAGCCTGCTTTCATGCCCTTTCATCCAGTTTAGAGGAGTCCTTTCCGCTTCCTTCCCCCCAAACCCTAACTAAACCCTAGGCCTTATAAACCTTGGAGACTGGCCCCACTCAGAAACAGCTGAGTAATTTTCATAATATGGATACATAAGGCTCTCAAACCGTAGCCCGATTATAGACTGCTACTGTATGGGGGCAGTACCCAAAACCCTAAACCCTAAACCACACTAAACCCTAAGCCCTATAAACCCTAAAATTTAACCCCTAAGCCTTACCCGACACAAGAGCGAAGAGGCCTTGAGCAGCTGTGAGAAAGCCAAAAACTGGATCTGGGCCCTGCAGCTGATGCAAGGCGGGTGGGGTAGGGGGTGGGAGCGAGGTCTGAACAGTCATTCTCTCTTTAGTTGCTTGGTGATTAAGGCTTCAGCGAGATTCTTTATACGTAAAATGTGGGGAGTTCTCATATATAGACGCGTGGGTTCGTTGTTTTTGTTGGTTGAGGTCTTTATTTTACTATTGCTCAGAGCTTCCATTCTGGTCTCCTGTCTTCTGAGATTCCCAGGTCTCCGGGAGAGCAAGTGGGCGAATGTCGTGAGTTATGGGGCGGTCATCAGCGCTTGCGCAGGTTCTGCAAAGTGGGAAGTAGCACTGCATTTGCTTGAGCTGCTTGGGGAACAGCATTTGCAGCCCACGATTACCACCTGCAATGCTGCCATGACTGCCTGCGAGAAGGCAGGACAGTGGTGTCGCGCTCTCCAGTTCCTCGAAGACCTGCAGAGATGGCGGTTGAGGGAGGATGACGTTAGCTACGGGGCGGTGATCAGTGCCTGTGCTGCAGGATCGGAGTGGGAGGTTGCCCAAGCTCTTCTGAACTCCATGCAGTCGAGACGGATTAGAGCAAGCATCATCACGAGGAATGCTGCAATCAGTGCTTGTGAGAAGGCAGGGGCTTGGCAACAGGCCTTTCGGCTTCTACAAAGCACCGAGGACGGCGGCCAAAAAGACCACAGAAGCATGCGGATCTCGCACTTATATGTTTTTTTTTCGATAGAATCACCCTCTCTATACATGGATTCCTTACCCTTTTAGACCCCGCCTTATGTGCAGTAGAGGGGTCGGAGTTATGAGTCATCGCATCCCCGCGGTAGCTCCCATAATACGACTATGGTCACTTATACCATGAATCGACCCCCAGAACCCTGTTGAAAATCTTCAAGCCTCCTGCTCTAGGACATTTTCAGGTGGGTAGTTGCCGTCATAGGAGCCTTATAGAAGCTCTATAAACCTTATATAGAAGTCTTATAGAAGCCCTATATACCCTAAACTCCCCACCTGTAGTTTTCTTAATTTTCATTGTGTGCATTTTGGCCCCTGTTGAAGAGGAATCGCTCCTGGAGGTGACAGTGATCACCTACAGCGCGGTGATGAGTGCCTGCGAGACTCAGAGTTGAGAGTGGTCTAATGTAGGGGCCTTAAAAAATTAGAATAGGGTTTTGGGGGTTCCTTTAAAGGGTTCCTTAAAGGGTTCTTCAAGGGCTACTGTAAGGGTTTAGGGTTTAGAGGCCTTAATAATTAGAGTAGGTTTTTTTTTTTTGGGGGGGGGGTTCCTAATTATAATTGTAGTAGAATATACCCCAAAGCCTAGTCCAATTATTAAGGCCCCTATATTAGGAGCCTCAGTAGTTCCAATTTGAGTTTAGGGCTTTGGGGGCTTTAACAATTTGGGTGTTGAGTGTAATTACATACTGTTGTAAAATATTGAGGGACTACGTATTATGGTAAGGTTTGGCGTTCACAAGATGGTCCGACAGCTGAGTTTGCTTTTGTGTTGGGTTTGTGATAAGGATAGGTATCCGAGCACCTACCCAAAGGCTCCATGTACCTTCATAGTAGATACTCAGGCCTTAAAGTACCTATATACGGACCCCTTTAAGGCCTCAGCAGCTACTATAAAGGTACATGGAGCCTTTGGGCTAAGGAGAAGGCTGGCGAATGGCAGCATGCCCTTGCATTGCTCCAGGGGCTACAACGAAGTCAGGCCGTTGACTGCCCACTTGCCTGCTTAGAGGATCAGTGGACGTAGTACGCTGGGCTATAAGAAACCCTAAACCCCTATAAAATCTACAAGAAAACCCCGAAACTCTATAAGAAAACCCTGAGCCCCTATAAACTTTATATGAAAACCCTAAACCCCTATAAACTACACCTCAAATCAAAAGGTAGCCGCAGGTATGTTCACCTAAAGCCCCACGTGCCAAGTCCCCTGATCCTCGCCGCCGATAGCCTGAAGAGCCGAAACCCAAGAGCATATTTGTAACCTTAGTCTATAACATGAGTTTACGCAAATAGCAATAACAACACAAACTAGAATAGTAATAATAATTCGAGTAGTAGCAATATATAATATGTAATTAGTAAATAGTAATATTACGCCCCGCTCTCCGAAGCCGCAGGTGGAGGCAGCAGTGATAACATACAACGCCGCCATCAGCGCCTGCGAAAAGGGCCGAGTCTGGCCCGTCGCAGGCTCTTGGGCTGAGTAGGGGAGGCAACTTTTCACCTTTTTTTGGGTTTAGCGTTTAGGGTTTAGGGGATTTCCTATGGCCTCCATTGTAGTTCCTTTTTGAGATTACGTTTTACCGGTCCTTAATATAAGATTTGGTTAAACCACAAAAGGAACTACAATGGAGACTATAGGGGTTATTCCAGAGATGAGCCTTTAGTTCCCCTCGATACTGGAGAAGTAGGTGGGCAGTTCTCTGAACATCGTGCATAGGTTCAAAGCCTATGCACTACGTTTTTTTATTTTGAAAAACCTATGCACTAGGTTTTTGGGTTTGGGGCTCAATTGAACTCTTTAGGGGTTCTCCGCGGGTAAGGTCCTGTCTTCCGATGCCAAAACGGCGTCGTGCGTCACTCTTGTGTAGGAACGCTCGAAGGGTTTAGGCGGTTTAGGGTTTACACAAGGCTTAGGGTTTAGGGCTTAGGGGTTTGGGGTTTAGGGTTCGGATTTAGGGGTTTAGGGGTTTAGGGAGAGAACCACCTGCTTTCTTTTTCGCCGCATCACGTTTACCATAGGTGCCATAAACATAAATGCCGAGGTCTTGTCGACAAAAGGTATAGGCGCAAAGCTGGATATTGATTTGGTATCATCTTTGAATCATCTTTACACGGTGCCCCGCAAGCGGATAGTTGGTAAGTGATGTGTATGATCTTATGGTCATTGAGCTCTTTCTGGGGACAGACTGAACACAACTTAAACCCTAAACCCCTAAACCCTAAACCCCTAAACCTGAACCCTAAACCCTAAACCCTGAACCCCTAAACTCTGAACCCTGAACCCTAAGCCCTAAACCGTAAACCCTAATCCCTAAACACTAAATCCCTAAACCTACAGAGACTGGAGGCCTCCTCCTGATGGAGCTTCAACGGACAAGCCTCCGGGCAACCACTATCAGCTACAATGCTGCCGCCAGGCTGAGAAAGCAGATCCCTTAACGGGGGTTCCTATAAAGTACCCTTTATAGTAGTTAGGGTCCCCAAAATTAGGTGATCTACCCTTAAGTCCTTAGGAATTCGGGTTGAGGGTGTCGGGTTTAATAGGATTCGGGCATCAGGGTTTAGGGTTTAGGGAATCTTCCGGAGATGCAGCTGCTCGACAGTTCATGGAAAGCGGGCTCATATATAGATCCATTAATAAGCCTTACACTTGAGGCTAACCATTTGCAACTATAGTTGCCTCGCTTTGTAGTGGCACAACCCGTAGGGTATATACACTAGGTTTCGGTGAGTGTATATTAGTTAGTGCGCCGTAAGGAAGATAGGTTACTGTATTTACTTTGCTTCGATCGTCGGTATGCCGTAAATAATTTAAACGTAGGCCTACTGGACATGGACCTTCAGGTGGGTGTGCCGGTGCTGAACTCGAATTGCCGGGACACGGGATTCCAAGCCTGACACGGCTCCAAGATGTAAAAAGCCAGCAGCGTAAGATGCCAACGTGGCTCAGCGGATGCCGCATCCTAACAAGCCTCTGACTTTATAACAGTCCAGAAGAAGCAAAAAGCCTCGAACCATCAATCAAGGATGCTGGGTTTACCTATAGTCTCCATGGTAGTTCCTTTTTGGGGTTACCTTTTGGGATCCTTAATATGAAATTAGTTAAACCAAAAAAGGAACTACAATGGATGCTGGGTTTAGGGTTTATAGGGCTAAGGAACCAAGCGGTACGAGGAAGATCCCAAACCGTTCAGATCCTGACTCATTCCGTAAATCCTTTAAAACCTCCCTAAGCCCTAAACCCGAACCCTGGGCCCTAAAGGACCTACCTTTTTTCAGGGGCTCCTTAGTCTGGAAATTCTTTTATATAAGTTTCTTAGAGAGGTAGGTTATTATTTGGAGTTAAGGTGAACGAACCCTAAACCCTAAACCCTACACAATAACCCTAAACCTTAAACACTAAACCTTAAACCCTAAACCCTTGGCCCATTCTGTGCCAAGGCACTGAGTAGCTGCGGCAAGGGAACTGCCTGGAGCGGGGCCTTGCAGGCCCGTTTAGGGTGTAATATAGGGGTCGTTTACTTGGACATGCCGTGCCCCCTAAAAAGTCCCTGTTTAGACGAAGTAATATAGTATAACTTAGGGTTTAGGGTGTAATGGTCAGGGTTTGGTTTAGAGTTTAAGGCCTTGGCAGGGTTCTGAGATGTGATTTCGGTACCCTGAAATTGTTGTTTCAGGCGTTATGTTCGTGTTTGGTAGGGGTTTCCTTCGGGTTCTGCAGGGTGTGCGTGTTGTTGTTGTTAAATGTTTTGGGCGGTTTTACAAAAATCCGAAGCACCACTGATCAATCTCCCGCCATCCCTCAGGGTTTAGGGTTCAGGCTCCAGGGGCTTAGGCATGATAGGGATTAGGGACTCGGGTTTAGGGTTTAGGGCCTTAAGGTTTAGGGTATAGTATAGGCCATTTTTAAAAATAGGACATCCCTTAAGCTCTGGGCTGTGTGCCGTTGTGATTTCAGGCTGTATCCGCACAGTGCCCTGCCCTCGGTATCCTTGTCGAAGTCCTCAGGCCAGCACACAAGGCACCACTAAGCAATAAGATAAATAAATATATATATATATATGTGTGTGTGTGTGTATGACAACAACAACAACACAAAAACAACAACAACAACAAAAAAAAACAACAACAACAACTCCCACATCCTGCATGACCCCAAGGGGTGAGTGCATGTCTAGAATGAATCCATCGGTACGCTTCACTTCCAGGCGCATCTTAGGAAACCAGTTTCTGTCGAGAAGCACGCGTGAGGCCTGAACTGTGGGCGAAGCTGTTTTATTTAGCATCAGCTGAATGTAGACAACCTTTTGATAGATCATTAGGGCGATCACTTACCGCTAAGTGTAATTTAAGTTGAATCTGTTCATGGAGGAGTTCCGTTTGGAGGCTCGGGCTGGGGATCTGTATGGTAGTAGTACGGACGTTTGGAAGTTGGGATTTAGAGCTTGGGGCTTATATTCTAGGGGTTTTAGGGTTTAGTGTTTAGGGTTTAGGGTCTAACTTATAGGGTTTAGGGTTTCGGGATTCGGGGTTTGGTACATGTTTGGGAATTCTCTAAATTTGGATGTCCTTCTTAGGTCCCCAAAATAATACGGCAGCCCGTTTAGACCCCGCTAAGGAACCCCAAGAAGGGAACCTAATTTAGAGGACTACCCACATGGGGCTAGCTTCGTAGCATTGGATCACTGGGAGTCAGGTCTTTGCTTCGTCGCAGACCGCCCAAGCATCCGCCGACACTGGGCCGAACGAAGTCCCGAAGCTTCAGGGCCGTGAGATGTTTAGGATTTATGGGTGTAGGTTTAGGGTTTAGGGTTACGGTTTAGGGTGTTTAGTACGGGTTTTGGGGGTGTTTATGGAGTTATTAGCTTAGGGTTCTTGTTGAAAAACTGAGGAACTAGAGGCAGTTCTCCTTGCATGGATGGGATTAAGGATTGAGGAATTAGTGTAAGCCTTAGGGCGGAGGAATTCCAGTGTTCGGAATGCAGGAGTGCCCAGACGTTCCAACTTCCTTTCATTCAGGAATATACCTTAAGTCATTACCGGAACCCTACTTAATTTGAAGGTGTGTTCCTTAATTCAGGTATCCTGGAAGGTCTGAGTGGTTCAGGGTTTGCTTTAAGGCGATATCTGGCGGCTAGTCATGGCACTCTGGACATTTAGGCATACCATATCCCCTGCAGTCCTGTAGTCTCATAGACTGATGAACCTAATAATTCTAAACGCTGCGCGTCGTCCGCCTCGGCCCGGCCGTATGTTGGGAGGAAGACATGATGCCAGGTCTGGGGCTTTTGCTTTCGCAGGATATCGGGGTGCAGCGTCTGCGGGGTGAAGAGTGATAGGGTTT